TTAAGGTTCTTACTTATGATGAAACAAAGTATAGTTGTCGGACTTGTGGGAAAATATTATATCAATAAGAAAATAGCACGTTAACGCGAAAGACAAAACAACAACAACATGGGTGCACTTATTTAAAAAATGGAGATAATATGATGGATTACAATTGTTTTTTTTTTAATGCGAAAGCACTTAACGCCTAAATGAATTTAGGTCTGTGCGTACCGAAAGCTATAAAAGCGAGCTCCATGCTTTCAACGGCTCTACCGAGCTCGTGCGGTTGTTCACAGGAAGTGCAATTCAGGGCAGCATGCTCCCGCTTGTAGTTTCCGCTTCGCTCGCACGGTAAAACGAAATAATTTACTGAAAAGTATTTGATGGAACAAAGCTTACATTTTTCATATGTGCAATTCTTGAGTTTTCACGTGACTACACACTTGAATATCATTATTCTTTTCGTTTCCAGCTTCAATCTAGCTCGTGCTCTTTTGTGTGCCACATGCATACCTTGGCAAACCTCACTCATGAGGGCCCTCACTCACCCTCACTCACCCTCATCTTCACAGGTGAGGTGAGGGTGAGTGAGTTTCTGAACCAGGAAAATTCATGAGTGTGAGGGTGAGTGAGGGCCGTGAGGGCTGTGAGGGCGGTGAGGGCCGTGAGGGCCGTGAGGGCTGTGAGCGCGGTGAGGGCCGTGAGGGCGGTGAGGGCCGTGAGGGCCATGAGGGCTGTGAGGGCGGTGAGGGCCGTGAGGGCGGTGAGGGCCGTGAGGGCCGTGAGGGCTGTGAGGGCCGTGAGGGCCGTGAGGGCCGTGAGGGCCATGAGGGCCATGAGGGCGGTGAGGGGTATGAGGGCCATGAGTGCGTGAGGCGCGTGAGGGCGGTGAGTGGCGTGAGGGCCATGAGTGCGTGAGTGGTGTGAGGGCGGTGAGTGCGTGAGGGGTGTGAGGGCCATGAGTGGCGTGAGGGCAGTGAGTGGCATGAGAGGCGTGAGGGCCGTGAGGGCGGTGAGTGCATGAGGTGGTGTGAGGGCCGTGAGGGCGGTGAGTGCGTGAGGCCCCCTTCAGATCGAGCATCTTTCTCAGCAATTTTGGTGTTAATGGCGGGTTGTTCTCTAGCTTTCCCTAGATCGACACGAATTGCTGAGATTGGGTCCGGCTCGAAATAAGCAAGCAACTCGGAGCAATTCGAATACGTTTGAAGCGGCTGCATCTAATCAGGGACGCAAAATTTTCACGTGATACCTCGTGCCAGTGATGATGACACCGAAAGACTTGGTTCTCGTTTGAAATCGATCGTTTTTTTGGAAATAAACTGTTTCGGAAAGGTGCATTAGTATTCCTAACGGGATTTAAATGCATAAAAACACGTTTATAACTCGTAATTGTGTCTAAATAGTGCAAGAAAAACAAAATTTTATGTTGACGATGGCAAATTGCATCAATTGGTTGCTGCGTGTGATCGCGGGCGGCGCGTGTTGCTGGTGTTGCGACGTAAAGTTTCTGGCCGAAATTGCCCCATCTGAAGCTGGCCTGAGTGGCGTGAGGGCCATGAGTGCGTGAGTGGCGTGACGGCGGTGAGTGGCGTGAGGGCGGTGAGGGCCGTGAGGGCCGTGAGGGCGGTGAGGGCCGTGAGGGCGGTGAGGGCCGTGAGGGCGGTGAGGGCCGTGAGGGCGGTGAGTGGCGTGAGGGCTATGAGTGCGTGAGGGCCGTGAGGGCCGTGAGGGCCGTGAGGACCGTGAGGGCGGTGACGGCCGTGAGGACGGTGAGGGCCGTGAGGGCGGTGAGGACCGTGAGGGCGGTGAGGGCGGTGAGTGGCGTGAGGGCGGTGAGTGGCGTGAGGGCCATGAGTGAGTGAGGGGCGTGAGGGCCGTGAGGGCGGTGAGGGGAGTGAGGGGCGTGAGGGCCGTGAGGTTCAGTGAGGGTGAGTAAAGGGCTGAAGGTGAGTGTGACTGTGAGGGTGAGGGTGAGTGAGGGGCTGAACGTGAGTGTAGCTGTGAGGGTGAGGGTGAGTGAGGGGCTTAGGTGAGTGTGGCTGTGAGGGTGAGGGTGAGTGAGGGCGACCTAAAATGCCGACCTCTGGCCACATGCATTAGAGACCCAAGCTAACCCAAGAGCAATATATTTTGCGCATCGCGAAAAACATATGCTTCTTGCCACGTGTGTCACAATCAAGACAGAATATTCTAAAATTCACATGTTTTCGCTTGCGTGGGTAAACAATGCTGTTTATCAAGAACAACTGATTTTATTAAATGAAGCGTGGAAAAAAAAAAAAAAAACTTGTCAGCGCACGACCTTTGGCATGCAGTGAATACTCATAGTCGGCGCCAAGATGGCTGGTAGCTTTCAGCAGGGGGAGCTTTCTTATGAACTCGGAGTTATAATATTTCCTTCGTTCTGTTGTAAGAAATAAGGTCGAAATCTAAAGGTAATGAAGTACTATGAACGTTCAAGCATCACAGCCTGAGCAGTGTATGTGTAGAAACTTTAGTTTTCTAGGCACCCTTAGCATTCGATAAGCTCAATACTAGTGCAAAATAAAGCGTTGTTTCAGTCTTAATCAGCGTGCGATGTGCGCACTTAAATTATTTTATACGACATACTCCACCCTTTGCATATGTTTAATTTTTGCACACCATTGCTTGCGCGCAAAAATCACGAAATTAAGACTTACATTGCTTAAACTGTGTGAAAAAAGCTATCTACAGACCAAGAATGTTTACCTGGCCAGTCACTGAATTTATCACTGTAGTCGTATTAAAGTTAATTTTTATCATTTAATGCTCTGAGTGAATTTTTAACCTTGGCATTACTTATTAAGCGTAAGCGCACCAGTCCTACTTTGTTTTTACCAAACTCAGTAGCTGCACCTCAGTGTATTTTTGTTTTTGTTTTCTAATTTTATGTGTTTTTTGTCAAAATAAACCTAAATGAGAAACCCGACCAAAAAAACAAATAGATTATTTGTTTTAATTTCTGCGGTATTAAATTCCTCAAGCTAATATTTTGGAAACCCTCGTCTATCACGTCGTCACGTTTGTTTCTGGAAATCCATCAAGAGTCAATCACATGCATGACAAAGCAATTTTATATTTTACACGCGTCGTTTTTTTTATGTATGTGTTCTGCCATGAGCTCAGAACGATTTGCTCATTTCGTTCTGACCACATTGGCTGGAGCATAGCCGCTGGGGACGTGAGCTCGGAGCGTTGGCAACTGGCCCCTTTGCACGAGAACTGGCGCAGCCGTGCGCGCTCCGAAGAAAGCTCGTGCAGAGAAAAACGAGCAGGGGTGTCATTCAGGATATAGGAAAATACCAAACTGTATCGAAGCACCACCACACACGATTTCTCGCATTGATGTACAGGTCTGGAAGGCAATCCCATCGCCATCTCTTGGTTCAGAGTCACACTAAGCAAGGGTGGGGTCATACCTTAAGGCATCTGCCAGTCTACCCAATGTACTTTTACCGCTGGAAAGCGGAACGGTATAAACAACCTTTTCTGTGCAGTCAACAAACTGATTCTGACTGTTCTTAGTACAACCCAGAAACCTCCCGGCTGTAAGATTGACATTTCTGCAAAGCTTAGATAACTTTTTAGGGCAGGGAAAACAACGGTGACATTTACTCGATTTTTTATTTTTCTTGAGCCACGGGAAAATTTGTGCAAATACGAAACCACAGCAACACGGTGTCTTTTTTCATTTGGAAACGTCTAGCGCGTCGACACCGCCCTCTATTTTATATTTCTTTATTAAAGTGCCTGCGACCGACGTGAGTAGGTGCTCCGGATACTTAGCTGTCCGAAGGCGGGAGACTTGAGCGTCAAAGCTAACCTTTGCTCAATGGGAACAGGACTTTTTTAAAGAATTCGTGAAGCAGAGGTTCACCATGCCCCTTCTTACCAGTTTGGAATGGACAGATTGGTAGGATGAAGGTGGCTTTCGGCCACGGGGTTTGTACGACCAACAAACGTGTTGTTCTAGAAAGTCAAGACGGAGATCGAGGCAACGTAATCACCCAGCAGCAGCCAACTCATGATTTAAAACCAATGGGGCGAGATTGTCAATAGAAACAGACAAAACATACGACACCAAGTGGGTCACGTCATGGTTTGTACAATCTAAAACCACACGAAAATAGTCAACATATCCGAAAACTTTTACCACATTTGAGTCGGCTTAAAAAGACCCAAGTCCTAATCCAGAACCGAAACTAAGCCAATTTTGGCTGACACTCGGAGTATTTCAGGCTCCATCGTTTCGAACAGGTATTAATCTAAAATTATTCATATTATGCAACAAAAAACGATGTAAATGTGGCCGTGGTACAGGGATCAACGCCAGTCCGATAATCACACATTCCTGTTTTTCCCTATTTCACTTCACACGGATTTGGCTCTTTTAGAAATATAACTCCTCAAATATCAATGACAGATCTGTGTAAGCATTTACACCTTTTTTCCACTGGAAATACAAATATCTAGTGAGAAATCAAATCAACAAATTTTATGGACTCTCCTATCAAATTTTGAGAACTCTCCTGTTTTTTGGATAATACATAGCTTTCAGTCGCTTTCTAAAAATAAGACGGACAAGATAAAACAGAGCGGATGACATAGATTACTTGCTACTTCAGATCGGAATAGCGTGTAGGATTATGCAGAACGTCGTTTTTTCTTAGTTTTTATTTCCTTCGGACACCGCGCTAAAGTAAACTTCAATACTCAGAGAAAAAGAAATGATGTGGCACTTTCATTTAAATATACTGCACAACGCAGTTACGTAAGTGCAAATATATTTTAATTTTTTAAATTGCTAAAAAAAAACGCGTAAATTTTCACCCCAAGGAAAAAAAAAAGAAAAAGGAAAAAGAAGCAGCCTACGCAGATTTGTTTAAGCTGAGATGGCTAAAGTTTTTGTAGTTATTTTATCCTTTTTTTGGCTCATTATATAACGTTGTCCTGTTTGCAATAGATGCCTAACGTACTTTATTTTTGTCTTATTCCAGGGTGGAATCGGTAGCGATGTTTCAAGCCCTGCGCCAAGCGCGGTCGTGGAACCCGTTACAACCTCAACGCTGAATCCATCTCGCGATAATTCATTCGGCTTTACTACCCCGAGCGCGCCACTGGAAGACTACGATAAATTAAACGAGCTCGACATGCAGGATTCGGTTCAAAAGTCTCCTCCCAAGTCGAACAAGGACCTAACCGAGCGCTCGAAAGCAACAAAGGAAGACTCGACGAGCGTATTGTCTTCTCCGGCGCCGGTTTTTGCTGGAACAGAGGCGCCACCGGGAGAACCCCGGCAAATCGAGCTGCCAGAAAGACCTGTCGAGGACAAGCCGACAAGTACGTCCAGCGAGCCCCTTCCGGGCGAACCGGCGTCAACGCCCATCGGACCAGTGCAATTCCCGCTGACCGGCCCACCACCAGCGTCACCCTCCTATTATGGTGGTCAACCGGGCTATGTCTCAGTGCCTGAGCAGCCATCATTTCTCTTCGGAGACGCCGGCATTAAAGACACCTCGACCCCAACTGGTGAATCAGGCACGCAGAATTCAGGGCCCTCGAATGGATTTCCGTCAACGTACGAAAGGTTTCCTGGGACCCCGCTTGGGACAGCCAATAGTGCTCTAAACCCAAATTTCATCCCACAAGTTGATACTTCACCGGGATCCGCCGCTGAAGTGGGACAAGGAAGCGAGGACAATGCCGGGCATTCATTCACTCAGGATGTTTCCAGCCATGGTGATTCGACGCTACCGGGCAGCGACGGCTTTCATCTACCCACTGCTGATACGCAAGGAGCCCCTGATGAGACGCTGCAGCCTCAATATTACGGCGGTCCTAGTTCCTTTGGGTACGGCCTAGCAAATCTTCCCGGACCCCCCACAGTCCCAGCACCAGCGACTGCTGACACCGCTGGTTTCAGCGCCCCCTTTAATCAAGTAGTTCCTTCAGACGCAAATAATTCTGACAAACAGGCTGAGCCTGCATATTCAACGCTGACGACTCCACAACCGGAACTGCTTGGTGTTTCGAACACTGATCAGTATGTGCCTGAAAGAAAGAGCTCTGTGGAGAGCATAGGAGCAATAACGTCGAGCCCGGATTCTGTACCATCCAGTGGGATCAGAGTGCTTGCTTTGAACGACTCCAAGACAGGTCGCTCTATGAACCTCGAGGGCGGCAGTGAGCCTGTCACGACTACACAAACTAGCATTTTGGACGAGCAAAAATCGGGAAGTCCAAATACGGCAACGTCATCCAACAGCTCCGATGTGGCAACTGCTTCACCGACGAGCGGCGCGCAAGAGACTGCGAAAGCATTACCGACATCCCCACCGGAGGCTGACGAAACCACCCAGCTTACGGAGGTTACAACAGATAAGCAAAGTGCCGAAAGGATCAGAGAGGGTGAATTTCTTACCACGTTCCCCGATCGATATCATCCTACAAGCTCCGACGACGTGACAACGGCAGCTCCAAGCGAAACCACTTCTAGTCCGGAGTCAGCCACAACATCTCTAAAAGCAGCGACGCTAAGCGGCACTGTTGAAACAACTGCTACTGGAACAGCAGAAAGAGTGAGCGAACTTGATATTCACGTGACAACATCACCCACAAATTCCGTGAGTACATCAATGATTTCTGATACGGAAATCACCACTGATATGCCATCGCCATCAACACTGGCACCTGTGACAATACCGCCACCAAAGTCAACACCAGGAACAGATTCCCCAACCACTGTAGAGCAAACCACAACACAACATATCCTTACGGAGCCTTTTACTTCTGAACCCTCTACTTCAGCGCCCCCAGCAATAGTGTCAACTACGAAAGATCTGAAGTCGTCAGAACCGACCACTACAGGCTTAACACATGAAGCATCAACCCGAGCTGAACCAACTACAACCATACCAACGACTATAAACCCAACGACTTTAAAATCGTCTGTGCTAGGGTCTTCGAATGGAGTACCAACTGGCACAGAACCGACAACTTCATGGCCTGCGACCACCCAACCATCGGCCCCCGAGCGCCCGGACGCACAGCAAACAACAACAGCATCAGCAACAGAAGTGCCAACGACCATGAAGTTACTGACGGAAAGTTCGACACCTGCACAGCCAACGACCACAGAGAAGGTGATTGTTGATATAGCAGCAGTAACATCACCGACTGAAACGCCAATAACTGAAGCGCCGACAACTGAAGCGCCGACGACTGCAGCACCAACAATTGCCGCTCCAACGGCGTCAACGACTGAAGCGCCAACGACTGAAATGCCAACGACTGAAGCTCCCATGACTGAAGCGCCCATGACTGAAACGCCAATGACTGAAGCGGCAACGACTGAAGCGCCAAACACAAAAATGCCAACAACTGAAACGCCAACGACTGATGCGCCAACGACTGAAACGCCAACGACTGAAGCGCTAACGACTGAACCGCCAACGACTGGAGCGCCAACGACTGAACCTTCAACGACTCAAGCGTCAACGACGCAAACACGAACGACTCAAACACCAACAACAACAGGTTCAGGAGCAGATGTCCCAACGACTACAGTCCCCATGATTGATGTCCCAACGACTACCGTTCCAGCGGTGGAGACTACAGCAACTGAGGAGCCAAGTACTTTGGAGGCAACAACGGGAGACGGAGCATCGCTACCATCAGTTGTTCCAGTTTCAACAGTTTCATCTGCCAGTACATCCGCTCCAGAGACATCAACTACGCCAAAGTCGGTGTCGACCACGCCTGAAATGTCCACTCCACAAGACACGTCAGTGACAACTAGCAACGTCCTCTTCAGACCTGGACCCTCTCTTGTCGAAGAAGAGCATACGACTCAAGCTGACACTGTGTCAGAGCCGCCGGTTGGTGAGACGACTACGGCAGGAGCCCTCGATCTCTTGACAACGGTCTGGCACTCAGCCAGTCGTAGCCCCAAGCAACTTACCCATCCGTTCACGTCTTCACCGGACCAGACCACGGAAGCGATAACCACAGCAGCGGTCACTGATGTGGTTTCTGACGCCGCATTTACGACCGTGACGCCTCTGGACGCCGTCACGATCTCGGAGAGCGGGGAACAAGAAACCACCTCCACGGGTGACCTGTTCACCAGCCTGTTCCCGGAGGTGAGCACGAGGGTGCGAGCGGCGATGACCACGGAGGCTACGACGAACACGGCGCATGTAGTAGATCTGTCAGGTGAGCCTTGGCTTTTTTCAATATCTCAGTACAAGATGCAAGGAGACAGATATTTTCTCTAGTGTCGTTCCACGTAAGGGGAACAACATATGTACCTACGCAGTAATTAAACTGCAAATATTGATATTTGAGGCATTGATTTTTATAATTGTTGCTTGTAGACTAAAAGAAAATACAATTGTATCTTTGTTACGTTTTAGTATTGATAACTGCAAAATTATATACAGAGCAATCACGGCACCTCTTCTAAATGATTTTGTAAAGTTTGAGCTCATTTCGATACACACCATGTTCAAGAAAACGAGTGCAGGATGTATGCCCATTTATTTCTTTTGTCGGCGCTTGTACCATGGTTTTAGCTTTGGAAAGAATGTACCTTGACACGTCAAATTCACAGCACGCCCGGACAGGCCTAGGAGACGGCATACCGAAAACTCGAGAGTACTGGAATCTGTTGTAAGAGTGTAGAAAATTAAAAACCAGCAAGACGCAGACAACTTTTTTGGGAGCAATAGAATCTTGATATAGCAGATAAAAGGATATTTTACCTTTGCCCGAAAATTATAGTGAAAACAAATTAGAATTAAGAAAAACGGTCATTAGCTCATTAAGGCATGTGGAAGTCAACAAGTGAAAAAGATTGGTTTCATATGCCCGTATATTTTCTCTCGCAGCAGTCGAAGCGTTTTATGAAATTCAAAGGCGCTTTGGCCCTTGCCTAATTCAGCAAATAGGTTCATTAGAGGTGACCTTTCAAGTAAGCGAAGATGGCTAATTGAAGAAAATTCCGATATCCAGTTGCGCCATTACTCTGTTCATTTTGTATCCCATCACCCATTTTATATCGCCGCCGAAGACGAGAAATCTGGATGTGGGGCAAGGCGATATTTGCACAATTTTCAATATTTGTGTAATTGTGTTCAACTACTCGTTTCGTGAAGCAGTAAAGTTTTAATTTATCTTTTATGTGCAGAATTGTTTTCTTATTTGAGTCAGTTTCGATGACTTTTTTAATATATATTTTTGTATTTTACGCACTCGAATTATAATAACACGGTTGCCTCTCGTTTGAGAGTACCATTCGAGGAACACATATATAAAGCTTAATTATTCCTGCTGAACGACCTCCTGTATACTCATAATGCCAACCCAATCTCCGGTTTCCAGCTGTCACCAGAAACAAATTATTCGTTAGTTGTTTATACATCAGAAGTTTAGTCTGCCAGAACATGGCGGCATTGTTACCCACTGTGTACAGGGTGTTTCACGAAAGATGGACAAATTCGATATTCCAAAAACGACGCGCCGAAAAAAAAAAAAAAAGATTTGTATTGTTTTGGTTCTGGGCCAGGGGCCTATTTAGGAAAATTATTGAAGTCCGGGATAATTAGATTGTTAATTATTTTTGCGTAATTAACTTTTTTAATATTGTGCTTAAGGGCATGGTTTCAATCAGAAAATTGCTCAGCACCATCAATAAACACTAAATCAACAAATTGCAGAACGATAGAAGGCACGCGAAGCATTTTACGGCTTTCTGAAAGACCGCACAAATTCGACGGGTTTTTCAGTTTCGATTTGCTATCGGAGCGCATCTCGGCCCCGACGGCACCGTGCCCCGTGGAAAACTTTTGCAACGAACCACTGCTGCGCTGTCATCGCGCAACGCAGCAGAAGTTGCAGCAGCAGAGGACGCTGGAGACGACGCAGCCAAAAGTAATATAATTACTATTACAAATTACCAAGGAAAGTAGGTTAATTACAGTAATTCAATTAGAGTAATTGAATTACTACACGAGTATGGTATGAGGAGGTGGCGCCTCTGGCAGTGGTTGCGTAGAGCAGGCGCAATGGCACCAAAGCATGGCGAAGCCGGAGCTTGGACAGGCGTTATCAATATAAGAAGTTTATATGTTAAACAGTGCACATAATAACTGGAACTGAAAAGTCGCGCGTCGTTTGCTCGCTGGGAGGGACATGGCAAGTGCGCGGCAAAAAAATTGCGCCAATCTCCGGTTGGCGGGCCCGAGCGCCTGCGATTGCTGCGATCGAGGAGAGGCGGAAAGAGAAAGTGAAACGACACTTCCAATAGGAAGTTATTCTGATGAGGGAGAGTAAAACTATTGCACTAACGACTTTTTTCTGTGATAATTCTTGTATTTACGAATGCGCCAGTTTCAAAAGTTTTGCGATGATGCTGAGGAATCATGTTTTGCCCAGAGCCGTATATGTAGAGAGTTTGGTCAATGGGAGGCGCGGGCAGAGCCAGGGCGTGCGGCAGACTCGAAAAGAGGGCTTGGCATGCTCTCTTGACCAACCAAAAGCCGAAAAGAATCCCCTAGCGGTGGTGGCGAGAAACAGTTCTGAGCCGATCGATCATCGAAGGTCTATGTTCGTATATGGTTTTAATAAGTACGTAAGAGTGAAGTGTAGTAACTCTTTGTGGTTGAAAATAGGGTGCACTTGTTGTTTTCATCATGATCATGCAGAAAGATGTAAGAAACGAATGCGCCGCTCAACTCTGTTTTGCGCGGACAGAGTGTGACCGCTCTGACGGCAGACTCCCGGCGCTCGGCGTTTGGCGTACGAATTATGTCGATCGTTCCGCTAGTCGCATTCTTCCACCATCGTTTTGGATGAGCGTGATTGAAACATCACGTGTACCATATTTTCAGCCATCAAGAGTTACTCCAATGCAGTTATCAGGTTTGTTTCTCGCAACCACCACCAGGGTATTATTTTCGGCTTCTGGTTGGTCACATTCGAGTTTCTGAAGACGCCATGGAACACGCCCAGCCCGCTTTCGGCCAATGACGCCTCCTCATTTGTCTCCTATACTTCCCAACGAATGGCCAAACTCTCTACATATACGGCTCTGGTTTTGCCGTTTAAAACAATAAAAAAGAATATCGACGTTGAGGTTGTACCAACACCTCCTAGATAACAAAGCCGTAGTGCCGATAGGGCTGTCGTCATCAGCGAAGGCCAACGCCGGTTTAAGATTGGACACGAGGATTGCGTGAACGTTCGGCACCAACTTGAGTCCAAGCTGAGCGCTGACGCCGCACTCGTTTTCAATCTGTGTCCAGCGTGGGCCTTCGCCGGTGATGTAAACATTTCAGCACGACGGCCATGTTTTCTAGGCTGCGTTGGTTGTACTCCGATTTCGACAGCAGCCGACGCTCCGATGCTCTCAATCAAGCAACCCAAAAAATGCACCGTAACGGCGGGCTGTGTGTGTTTCCTATCCCTTGCTTAGCCGCTCAGATAAAGCGGGGAACCGCAGCGCCTGATTGGTCGAGCCGAAGAGAGCACGAAGACGCACTTTTGGCGCTGCTTCCTTCGCTCCCTAGGAGCGTCGGTGGCTGTCGGACTTCAAGAACTGAAAGGAAACCTCGTATCGAACAACGAATCAACGTGGGATTTAAGCTGGAAATGCGTAGACGAGAGGAGACTCGGCACAACCATCGATACCCTGCTGTGCTAAAAATACGCTCGCGCTGGAAGGGGCGTCTTCTTTAGAAGGCCGACCACCGAAGCCACCGCGTACTTGAAAGAGACAATAACAACTACACACTGTTTCGCGTTACGGTGTACCGCAAGGGCGTTAGGAGCCGCGTTACAAAATACGCCGCTCCAGGCGTGCCAGGCGACTTCACACTTCGCACGAGGCTTCTCCCACCAGGGAGGTCACGTAGCATGCTCTGAGCCACGGACTGACTCCGCTGGCTCGTAGCATGCTTGCGGAACACGATAGGGCGAAACGGAGTATTGAGCGATGCATCCGGCGTCAGGCAGTGATATAACTGAAAACAACTCAACGGATGACTCAGTACCGGGGGGCGTACCCAATTCTGTTTGCCGTTCGAACACCTCGCTGACCCCGAAGCAGTTTTGGCGGAAACGCGGTGCAAGGGACGATGTTACTGGTAACGGTTTACTCTTTTTCGGTGTTAACATACTCGCTTCATTTTCAAAACAGTAAGGGATAACGTACTTCTGTTCTCCATTTCGAGTAGCGGGTAACGTAGTGAAGTAACTCGCTAATTGGTTTCATCTTCGTCCCAAGACCTAAAAAAAAAAACTACGCCTTAACTTTTTTTTTTTTTTTGCGTCTCCAGGTGTTAGGTTATTCGAATTGTGGCACTTATCCTACATACCTTCAAACCTGTGCCGCTCTTGTCCGAATGCGCACACATACACTTCAGAAAAACCCGAATGCCCGCGACCTTCCACGCGGTGTCGAAAACTGCTGTCGCCAAAGAGGACTATCGCTGTCATTTTGTAAATAAAAAGTTACGCAAAAGTAACGTGCGTTGCTATTTATTGGTAACGTTTATTTTGAGGTAACTCGTTCATTTAATTTGCAAATAACGAGTAACGTTTATAGTTATTTCTTTTTCCGGTAATGCCTACACACTGCCCCGAAAAGAGGCGCTTAGATAAAGTTTGGCATCTAGCTTTGTCAAACCCTTTGACTTCCACCCTTTGTCACATATACGACTCCCCAAAGCTTCAGTTCTACGTACAGCGCATTGACGTCGAATTGACGGGCCCAACCTTTACTAAGGGTTTGATTACGGTGCGATGTAACGTATTAAACAGCTATAAAGTACGTGTCAAAGACTACAGAAAACAGACACTGCGGTTTTGCAGTAGGGCCAAGAAAACCCCGATTACTTTTTTTGCAGTCAGTCACACTTTAGCTGTTTTATTAAGTTGCACAACGCGGTTATCAAGCCGCTCGTGAAAATTGGTAGCGTCGATTCAACGTCAGTGCGCTGTACGTCGAATTGAAGTTTGGGGGAGTCGTATATCTGGCAAGGAATGTAAGGGCTACATCCCTTTTTTAGTGTGTTGTCACCTTACTTTACCACTATAATCACCGTAAGAAATTATTTATTTTGTAAACGCTGTTCTTTCTATCAGCGCGCTTTTTTAGCGTGGTCTTGGCTGTCGCTTTTGTGATAGGTATGTCATCTCAATAGAGGGCGATCAATGAGGTCAAAATGATTATAATACAATTATTGCAAATTTGCAAGTGAGCTGGACAAGAACGACGATAATATTTGCCGGAGAAGGGGAACAAAGGGGACAAAGGAGAAACAAAATCTCTGATTGGTGATCTGTGTTTTTCCTTTGTCCCCTTGTTCCCTTTCTCCAGGGATTATTATCGAGGTCAAAATGTTGTCATTTTGGAAAAGCGCGCCGAATGAGGAGGTTCAGATACTCTTCCCTGGTCGATAACATAGATTTGTATTTTTACGGCTAGTTGCGTAGTTGCGTGCGTGCGCGCACACACACTGACATTTGTGTACTTCCTGGTCAGCAAAAAGGGCGAACCGTTCAACAATGTTAAAGGGTAAAAGTCTACTGTCTTAGTGCATTCGTGCTGGAGGGGATTTTTTTAAAGCATTGAAAAATTACCAGCAGGAGTTCTGATAGGTGTGCTTTGGAGTCAAGTCGCCTTGCCTGTTTTAATCGGTTCGTAGTTCCGAACCATTGTTGGGACCTTGTAAGCCGTGCAACGGATGGCCTGCGGCAGAACCCTGGCGCAGGTGCCGGTTAACGACTGCGCTGTTCTGCGGTCCGAAGGGAGCGGTCCATCGCGCCTTGCACGGCTGCTTGTCGTTGCACTGCCACTGTGAGAGGGACGTGCTTTATGACTTCCGTCCTTTTGTTCTCTCTCCGCAGACAACTCCATCGAGACGGAAACAGATGCCACCATCACCGCCAAAGTGTCCTGTGTAAGTGGTGCCTTGTATTGCTTATCCGCCCTTTTCTCCGCTTTCCTTTTCATGTTCCCAGTAGACTGATTTGTGTCTACAGAATTTTATACCTGCTTGTCGGCAGTCGAGCAAGTTAAGGAAGAAAAAGGCAATTTGGCTCTTGGTGCAGGTGGACAAATGTCTAAAAGTGCTTATTGCGGCAGATGTAGGTATGTATTGTTTGTGACCCACTCTAGGCAATAGAATGTTTTGTTCAGTGAACAGCTAAGTGTATCGCATTATTGAGACAAGGATGGTGCTCAGTAGTGTTGGAAGATGCCATCATCGTTCTAGTTTGTCCTCAACTAGCTCGAGAAACTCCCGGTGTATATCAGTGTTGCGGAGTTGTCACTGCAGAGTTGGAATGATTCCGTAATAATTACGCACTTCCGCGACCCCGGAATGGAATGAGAATGAAATGCCGGCAGCGCTGGGAGGAATTGTTGCAACCAACACTACGGCGACGTTCCTGTTCTTAGCTTTAGGCCGGTCCCTCCTACGGACCCGCCGAAGCTATAATGCATGGTTTGTATTCGTAAATTTTTACCTAATGACGTCCAAACAGAAGGGTAGAAGCTCACATGAACTGCGACGTTGGATTGCCAGCACAGGTGCGAGCTCTCCCAAGAAACTGCACGCTCCGCATGTGCCATAAGCTACGAAATCTGGATCGGCACTTGGGCATCGGATTATGTGCGCAGCGGGTAACGCCGTTTCATCCAATGAATGGACATTTCATCGAACGCCATTTCATCGAACGCCGTTTCATCGAATCGCTAAGGGCCGTTTCATCGAATTTTTCTGTATCGAGTTTTGGGGCATGGCAGTGCTTTATAGATATTTCACCTTACATTTGTTAAGACTAAGATAGCCGCTTGTGAAACTGTTTCTAAGGTGGAGCCAAATTACTAGAAATAAAAACCATTGGTAGAAAAAGGAATAAAAACAAATGGGTACGTGACTTACTGAAAAGTTTTACTCATGTACGCGGCAGAAAACATGACATTGGAGGTAAAGGACCGACACTTAAGACAGTTTTAAGTGTTTGCGTCGTTTTTTTACCGGCTGTCTGGGGGTTTCAGTAATGTGCAATTCACACCAGCTCGTTTGCACACTTACGCTTAGTTGAAGGTTTATTCACGGAAAGCATCTAACCGCCAGGGCAGCACGCTTATAATATAACGATACTCTGCCAGGAGAGCACACGAAATAAAATATAGCGGTACTCTGATTATCAGCTTTATGCTCAGATTGAACGTTTCTGTTTTTTTTTGTTTTTTTTTTGTAGTTTTGAAGCTCTACAGAGACAAAAGCTGCATAAAGTGGCCGCCAACATTGTTTCGGGCTACACCTGGACTGGAACCACCTCCCCTTCACTGTCAACTTTATCACCAACCCTTTTGCATATGAATGATCTTCAGGACACTTTCTTAGGAAGGCCCAACCGTACCAGACAATAGTAAAGCCCTTGGTGTACTCTGTGGAAACAGGCCCACTCGTCTCAGCCAAATGGCATAGGGAAACTGGTCATAGGTGAACTGGTCTAAGAGAACATCTCGTTTTAAGTAAACCCGTAGTAGGGAAAGTGGTCGCAGGGACCATCTCGTTCTTGGAAATCAGACAAAAAGACAGAAAGCACATCGTGCTTTCTTTCTTTTTGTCTGATTTTTAATTGTCTCATGTGACATGAAGAGGGGTCATTGTTTCATGGAGGCGTTCTTCTCGAAGCAGGATATGTTCACGATGGAACTTATCTCGTCACTGCACCCTGTGATTTAAAAAAAGGTACAATCAGATGACGTTGCGTATAAAAATTAAAATAAATTACAAAAAATATTACAGGCTGTAACAGCGTTCGATGAAAAGGCGTTCGATGAAACGGCTTCAATGAAACGGCGTTCGATGAAACGGCGTTCGATGAAACGGTGTTCGATGAAACGGCTTCGATGAAACGGCGTTCGATGAAACGGCGTTTGATGAAACGGCGTTTGATGAAACGGCGTTCGACGAAATGTCCGGGCCCAGTTAACCTTCACTGCCTGGGTAACCCTACTATTTCAAGTCAACAGCCAGGCTTGTGTACAACGAAGTACGAATAAGCTTCGCCGTCTAGGTGTGCTACGTACACGAGGGCAGGAGTGATGACTAGCAGGAGGTATTGACGGCTAACAACCACTCATTAAATTCGTACCTAGGGACCTGAAAGTGACGGACCGTTTAATAAGAAAAGAGTTATACTCCGATGTGTGCTCTCTCGAATGACTGTCTTGAATCATAGAACGCTGACGGTTTGTTGTGTGATTTCGTCTAAATAATCCTGTGTAATCTTGCGACAGAAGACGCTCCGACTCCACTCTTGGCTCGCTATTTGGTTTGAGCCCCCGACTACGCAACATAAGGGAATTTGAATGGAATTAGAATCCTTTAAACCAGAATGGAGCGGGAATGTAATGGGCTCAGTTCTCATGCGAGTTGTATTGAAGAGAGTAACGAAGTGGCAGTTATTATTAGTGCAGTAAAATGATTCCTATACTCATTTTCCTCTCAAGAACCTAACAAAAAAGTCCAGCTACTCGCGGAACAATACTAATTTCCCCCTTTCATTTAATTCCGATTTATTTATTTACTCTCAGGGTTGAAGGCATTACAGAGTGGAGTGGGTTGTTTATTCAAAAATACATGAAAACAACGCTAACAAGGCAAAAATGCATTAACATCAATGAGCAAGGCAAGAAATTCGTCAATATAAGATTAAACAAAACAACCAAGCAAGTACCGACTTCGCTAAGATACATTAAAAGATATGTAAATGCAATTTTAAAATGAGCGTGTCGTTCTTGAGATCATTGATGCTGGAAAGCAATTCCAATCAATGGATTTCAGAAAACAAAATTTAAAATAGAGTGGCCACATTAAGGGATGCCTACTTTTAGTTGGTGATCTATGTGCGGTGATATATAAAATATTTCTAAAAATAACGTTCTAGGAAATTGCAGCTTATAGTTATAAATTTTGTGAAATAAAGATAAAGTATATATTTTTTGGGAGAAGAGAGACCAGGCAATGAATAAGGTGCTTCCATGGAGGTGACATTGGCTGTGCGGTGATAGTTTGATAGAATAAAACGGACAGAGCGATTTTGAATTTACTTAATAGCAGATGCAAGAGAGATTCCGGGGTGCCAGATAGAGGCTGCATAATAAAGTTTGTTACAGATTAGTGTTTTATACAAAATTAGCTTCAAAGAAACAATAATGAGTGGAAAAAATGTCTTTTTGAGATAACCTAGTAAACGATTAGCGGTGTTAGTGACGTACTCACCTTTGACACTCTGGGAAAGGTCATCGACAATATGAAGGTATGTGGAAGGGGCAGCGTTGGAGCTAAAGTACAGGATACACGAAATATGATAAACTTACAGGGACAGAAGACAACACGCACAGCTCTTCCGAATAGGAGTGGGCACGTGTTGATGTCCATTTCACTGGGGCGCCTCATCCTGGTCTATGAAGTAAGAAGATGAGGAAGCAGCTAATTTGAAAGGAAATCATCAAGAAGGGACTGAAACGAAGGAAGGAAACCGAAAAAATGAAAACCAGAATTAACAGTAAAATTAAATGAAATGGAAATTATTTAAGTTAAATTAATGTTTTCGGATCACCACTCTTGCGTCTGCTATACGAGTGGTAACTCCCGCAATTCTCACCTGCTTCAAACCTTCGTAAATCCAATTTGGCGTTTTTTTTTATTACGCTCATTAGATCTCTCGTTGGAACCATATATTTGGTTTAGCGATTTAAATGTTAATGAACAAAGTATAGCTAACTATTAAACTTCTGACAATTAGCCTATTAGATTTTGGCCCCCTGACCGTAAGTGCGTTTGAATTATATTCGAATTAAAAATCAAACACGCTGTATTAAACAAAACTTTTATCAGAGTCTCTGCTCATTTTTTTTTTAGTTTATTATTTATCTTTACTGTGCGTCTTTTCACAGCGCATCGAATCAAGGAACCTGACCGTGCCGTGCCTGCTGCCGCAAGAACTTAATAACACTGTTACTGTGAAATTTTCAGAGGTGAGTCAATTATCAAATATATTTATATATATATACAAGGTGTTTTTTTTTATTCTTACACATTTGTTTAAAAAAAACCGTGAAAGCTACACTAATGCGGTTTGTGCAGGTTGGTTATACGGCCAAGCGCACAGTATGTGGGCGGCTAATCTTCGCGATAAGTCGGCTAATTAATTAAAATTCGTTAATTAACTTTTTAATTACTGAACATAAACATATGGTTTCAACTAGAAACTTGCTGAGCACCATCGAAAACCCCTAAATCAAATATTTTTAGCAGGATATAACGCCGGGGCAGCGTTTTACGGCGTTCTGTAAAAACGCTCTATTTGGACGCATTTCTAGATTTCGGTTTCTTATCGGAGCGCATCTACGCGCCCGCGATCCTGCTCCCCGGTGGTCGCGGCGTGAAGCCACCTCCTCGCCTCCCTCGAAGAATGGAGGGAAGTACGGCGCACGTGTGTTGCGCGTCTCAGCCACTGGGGAGCAGGACCGCGGGCGCGGTGATGCGCTCCGATAACGAACCGAAATCTAGAAACGCGTCCAAATGGGGCGTTTTTACAGAACGCTGTAAAATGCTGCCCCGGCGTTATATCCTTCCAAAAATAGTCGATTTAGTGGTTTTCGATGACGCTCTGCAAGTTTCTAATTAGAACCATATGTCTATTTCCACTAATTAAAAAGTTAATTAACGAATTTTAATTAATTAGCCAACTTATCGCAAAGATTAGCCACTCACATTATGTCCGCCTGGCTGTATAATCCACCTGCACAAACCGCATTAGTGTAGCTTTCACGGTTTTTTTTTAACAAATGTGTAAGAATAAAAAAAACACCCTGTATATAAGTGAGGCAGAGTAGTTTGAGAACAATGGACCTGGAGAATGTAATAAGTCAGAGGTCCTTACTTGCGGAGTTGCTATACTAGGAGTTTATTGTATGTATTACGACAGTTTCGCCGAGAGGCTCGGTTTCGTCAGGAGATGGCATGATTGTCGACGACGCACACCTTTCTATGCCATCTCCTGACGAAGCCGAGCCTCTCGGCGAAACTGTCGTAATACATACAATAAACTCCTAGCATAGCAACTCCGCAAGTAAGAACCTCTGACTTATATATATATATATCGTTACGAAGACGACGACGCACACCTTTGGGAAATAAGGGCCCGCGCGGCTTGTTTTTTTTTTTTTCCGCACGAGCTGGGAGCGATTCTGCTGTTCCGCCATTGATCGCCTCTGGGGTGCTATGTTGCGCTTTTTGCACTCCCAGGAGACTAGGGAGAGGGAAGTGACGTCAACGACACAGCAAACGAAGATTGGATGTTGATTTCGTTTCCTTCTGTCAACATCCAATCTGCGTTTGCTGTGTCGTTGACGTCACTTCCCTCTTCCAAGTCTCCTGGGAGTGCAAAAAGCGCAACATAGCACCCCTGGTCTTTCCACGTCGCAACATCAAATACGTGTCTCATAAATACCCTCACAAGGGGTGGAGGTGCACACGATTCCCGACCTCTTGGTTTCTGTACTGTCACGATCGGCCCCGGAGCGTCGCAGCGGACGTTCAACGCATAACGCAATGCCGGACGAGGCGGGCAATGCCAAGGGACAACGCCCACCCGCTGCCCCACCCATCAAGAACCGCCAGCGAGATCCACCAGTTTTCGACAGATGTCAATGACTGGCTAAGAAGTAAGAAGTTACGACCGGGCTAGCTTACCTAACAGGTGGGACGATACTCTAAGGCTGGCGAATGTGGTTTTCTTCTTGAAGGATACCGCGCTCCAGTGGTTTGATAATAACGAAGATGAGATAAATTCCTGGGACGAATTGCAATTGGCTTTCGCGTAGCTACTTGGCAAACCCGAACGCTGGAAACAACAGGCGAAAGATAAACTTGCTCGAAGGTATGAGATCAGAACCGAGTACTCCACGTCTTACATTGAGGACGTCCTTCGCCTGTGTCACCGCGTCGACACTAACATGACCGAAGAGGACAAAATCCGGCATTTGTTCAATGGGCTGTTGCACGACCTATTCTCAATCGTAGCTCCACAATCCCCTCCAACTGTTGAGCACCTCATTACAGGGTGCAAGAAGTACGAGGAGCCTGCAGAGTGCCCGCATAACAAAGGAACCCTTTGAACGCCAGCCTGAAGTATCCACACAGACCACAGCGACGTCCGACCTCCCACAATTAATTCGGCAAATCATCCACAGGAACTGCTGGCGTGCTTCGGCAGATGTCACCCCGAACCAACGGAGCGACACCGAAACTATACAGGAGGTAGTCCAAGACGAAGTACGCGCTGCTTTCCAACCACTTGCTCCGCCTACCCCGACATACGTGCCCGCACCACCAGCTGCCACATTGTGCTGCCCTATGCTGTACGACACGCAACCCCGCTACCAGACGTCCCTTCTACACCAACTTCAACGCCCATGACGAATTTATGGACAATGACGCACCGACACTTGGAGAGCAGAAGACCAGCGCCCAATGTGTTTCTATCGTCACACAGCTGGTCACATCGCCCGTTAGTGCCGTCGACGAATCGATAATAACGCTTATTATCATGCACCTGACAATCTGTCTCCTTATTCGAGAGATTTTGACGACAGCCGTTCCTCCGACACACGCCGCTCTACAAATGATTCACAAACCCCTCAAGATCACAGCGGCCGATCACCCTCGACGTACCCTAGACGTCGCCGATCAGTGTCACCCTTCAACCACGCGGCCGCAGTGTCGACGCCGTCATAAAACTAAGGAGGGCAAGCTGTGTTGCCACCGGAGGTCAGGCTGCACTGCCACAAGCTGCCGGAAATCCTCCTGTTATAGCACTGACGACACTGAACGTTCATATTACAGGACAAAAATGTGTCGCCTTGGCCGACACAGGAGCCGCAAAATATTCATATCAGCCGATGTCTGCCGCCGCTTACGTAAGGTATTTACTCCAGCCAATGGACACCTATTGCGCATGGGTAACAGCGAATTGGTGCAATCTTTCAGATGTGCATCAATGTCCATTCTTATTGCAGACATATCCTATATTGTCGTATTCCCCGTTTTGTCTAACTGCGTCGCTGATGTTATTTTAGGCTGGGATTTCCTGGTGTCCACAGACACCTTCATAGACTATGCTAGAAGCGAACAAGAGCTGAGCTGCATCGACTGCCATTCGACAAACATGACCCTTCGCACAAACAACGACCTTCTTTTGCCACCACTGTCTGCCCTTGCCGTAGTGCTCACAGCCGAACCGTCCTTTATAGGAACCTCGGAACTAGTGTAACCTGTCGAATCATTATTTGCGAAGAAAAGTATTGTCGTTCCATACTCCATCGTGTTCCTAGTACAATGCAGTGTTTGTCTTTGCCTCGCCAACATATCTACCGAGTCGCAAATGCTTCCCCGAAACACTCGTGTCGCCAATATGACCAAGTATGAGGAACACTACATCGTCGCTCTTTCGGAACATCCCCCCCCCCTCCCCCCCCTTTCTTGTCTACCCGCTTCTGCACGTGATATGAGCGTCTATTTTACAAGGGTGGAGGACGCTAATTTACCTCCCGAGGACCAACATTGTTTAGTCACCCTTCTTAAAACTTATTATGATTTATTTGACTTCAGCAGCCAAGTCTTTGCTCAAACATCAGTTGTCAATCACCGCATCGACATTGGAGAGGCACGCCCAGTGAAAAGCAGACCATTCCGAATTTCACCTACAAAGCGTAAAGTCATCCAACAGCACGTCACCGAAATGTTGGAGAAGAAAGTTATCCAGCCTCATTTAGCCCTTGGACGTCACCCGTTGTCCTCGTAAAAAAGAAGGATGGGTCCTGGGGCTTCTGTGTAGCTACCGCCGCCTGAATAAAGTAACCAGGAAAGATGTCTACCCGCTGCCCAGGATCGACGGCACCCTCGACGCGCTCCAAGGGTCATCCTTCTTTTCATCGATGGATCTCCGGACCGGCTGCTGGCAAATACCAGTCGCTGATGCTGACAGACCTAAAACGGCGTTCGTCATACCTGACGGTCTCTGCCAGTTCCAGGTAATGCCGTTTGGTCTGTGCAATGCCCCAGCGACCTTCGAAAGGATGATGAATTCATTGTTCCGCGGCCTCACCTGGAATATATGTATATACTACCTCGACGACGTCGACGTTTCCTCAACCACACTTGATCAACATTTCCCCCGGCTGAGGCAACTTCTTGGTTGTTTTCGCTCCGCGCACTTACAATTAAACTCGAAGAAATGTACGTCCGCTGCTCGACAACTGAAAGTACTTGGCCATGTATTCAGTGCCAATGGCATCAGCCTGGACCCCGACAAACTCAGAGTCGTTTCTGAATTTCCTGTTCGGCAAGCAGGTTCAAAAGGACGTCCGTGATTTTCTTGGACTATGCACATACTTCCGAAAGTTCATCCCTGGCTTTGCTCACGTCGCTGAACCTCTTAGTCAACTCCTTTGGAAAAACGCCGCATTCGAATTGGGCGCACTTTAACGCCAATTTTTTTAATCTGTTAAATCGTTCTTGACAAACAGTCCCATTCTTGGCCACTTTACTGAAGAAGCTGAAAGCGAAATACGTACAGATGCTAGTGGACATGGTATCGGTGCCGTCTTGGCTCAAAACTTTCTAAACAACCAACGTGTTATCGCCTACGCGAGTTGCACTCTTATCCAATGTGAACGGAATTACACTATAACTGAACGCGAATGCTTGGCTGTTGGATGGGTTGTGTCAAAATTCCGCCCCTATATCTACGGCATTCACTTCCAAATAGCGACCGACCACCACCCGCTCTGCTGGCTCGCCAGTCTGAAAGACCCCAGGACGCCTTGGGAGATGGTCCCTCAAATTGCAAGATTACAGCTTCACCGTCCTCTAGGAATCTGAAAAAAAAAAAAAAACCTCAATGCCGGTGGCTTGCCTCGATGCCCTCCACCACTCGCCGCTCCTCATCAAGATACAGGAAACTTGCTCACGA